TATTAATTTTTTAGATTCACATAGGATGAAATAATAAAGTTTTTCTTGATCGATTTTTGAATAGGAAATAGTATTTTTCTATTTGAAGATTGACCAAGTAGAATTTTATTTTTTTTTGTTTAATAAATGTTTTAAAATAAAAATTACAAATATTTTATTTATAATAAAGATAAAATATTTACAAAAAAATATATAAATACAAGAAGAAAAAAAACTATATTTTTATTTTATCGCGTTTTAATTTTTTTAAACTTTCTACAAAAGTATTTATTATCTCACTTTCTCTTTCGATATTTACATTTTCTCTTTCAATGAGAGTTATGTAAAAGTTTCTATCATGCCAGAAATACCAAGCAGCAAAGATTAAAAGACCGATAAGAAACAAAGCCCAGTAAAAGAGAGTTTTGTAAATATTCTTTATTTCCATGTCTGAGTTCACTTGACTCTGAGTTATTGTTCTAAATGGATAATTTAAATGTTAAAATTTATGATGATAAAGAAAAAAATAAAGATTTTTTTTAATACAAACCTCTGAGAATCAGATAAATTCTTTGAATTATTTGGTAATTCTGAAGATTGCGAATTTTCTTCAGAATTTTTATTTGAATTTTCTTGTTCTTCAGAATGTTCTATTTTTTTAATATGTTTTTTTAGTAATTTATTTTTTTCAATAAGATTTTCTACTTTATTTTGTTGTTGATAAATTTCTTCAGCAAGTTCGATTATGAGCAAATTTTCAGTAATATTTTGTTGAGATTTTTGTATTTTTTCCATTGAAGAATTTTTTTTTAAGATAATGATAAAAGATGAACAAGACTTAAATACCAAATATCATATAATCATCAGCATCTTCTTGATTGTTTGAATAATTACCGTCTTGGTTTCTATAGATGCTAAATTCTATTTCTTGGGGTTTATTGTTTTAGTGGGTCGACATTTTTGTTTTCTTGTACAAAGGAAAAAAGTTTTGATATTTTGTAAAATTCCAAATCAAAAATTTAAATTTTTCGTACATAATCTCAAAAAAGAACATATTAATAATTAAAATTCTATGATTCTTTTGTTCTAAAATTCTATTTTACTAAGTATTTGATAAGCATTTATCAGTTAGATCAAATAAAGATTATCATAATGATTTTATACGTGTGAATTTTTTTATATAAAAATTTTAAAATCAAGTATTTTACAAATTTAATTGAAACTCTACCAAAAGTTGAAGAAGATCATCAATTGAATTTGTAAAAGTTTTTAATATTACTTGTATTTATATTTATTTATACGTTATAAATAAAAAAAAACAAAACTATGAATAAATTATATAATAATTATTAACCCCAAAAATTGGGTGAAAAGTTATATTTTAAAATTTGTTAATAATTATTCTAATAAAATTCCAAGATTCTATTTTGCCAAGGATCGATAATTATTTATCAATTAGAACAAGGAAAGATTATCATATACATGTGAATTATTTAGTAATTATTTAGATTATCATTTCTCCCCAAAAATTGAGTAAAAAAACAAATTACGTCTGTAATTTGTATAAATATTTTATATCAATATAAATAATTTAAGTAATCAAGATATATTTGGCTTATTGTGACTCATTAAACGTAAAATTTTTATTTGTAAAAGATAAACAAAGCCACATCTTAAGGTTTACAGATAAACTTTTTTTTGAATACAAAATTCTAGATTCTTTTATTATTGAACAAATACTAAAATAAAATTATAAAAATAATTAAATTATTAACATGATAACAATCCAAAAAAAATTTGATTATTTCAAAATGAAAATTTTAAAGAAACTATTTAAAAAATTTAATAAAAAATCAAAGAAAGAAAATCTTTTTATTACAAGAGATTATTCTACATGGTCGAATGACAATAAAGAAAAATCTTTTAATTCAATTTCTTCATTATCACTCGAACATGAAAAACAATTTACAGAAATAAAATTTTGTGAATGTATATATTTTACAAATTATAAAAATTTTAAAGATTATTTAATCGATGAAGGAATTATAAATTCTTCTTTAAAAATTTATGAAAATACTAAAAATAAAAGATTGAATAGTCTTCTTTCTTGAATCGAATTTCATATTAGATCAACATTTTATGGATTTAACGAAGGATACAAATATCATTACATCAATAATACTTTGGATTTATTAGATGGAATATCTGAAAGAAATACAAAATTAATTGATTATTGTTTAGAAGAAGTAAATGAATATTGTAAAGAATATAATATTAAATATATTTGGACTTGGAATGATTTGGAAGAATATAATAAAGAATATCTCGTATTAATTTTTTTGTTTATTGATTAACTTTATTTATATTTATTCATGTACTATCAATTTTATATTTAATCTGTATATATTATCATAATAAATTTATCGTTATCATATTTATCAATGATATCATTATACATTATTTTAATTTTTTTAGAAATTGATCATCATTTTATTTATATATGAATTTATAATATAAATATATATGCACAATGATAATTAAAAATATAAAGTATTATTTATAAATATAAAATTTGCAATTGATATTCGAAAAAAAAAACCTAAATTTGTAAAGTAAGTATTGATATTTTATTATAATTTATAAATATTATTAAAAATAATTTTGTATTTTAGATATGACTTCAAATTATCGTAAACAAAAAAGAAATGTTTTACAAGAAAATAATTTAAATTTTTTAAGAAGTATTATTCTCATCAATAAGAAATTCATGACAAATCTCATGATAATTTTTTTAGTAATTTTTATAATATTTTCTGTTACGATGATTATTTCATTCTATATTTTTTCTTCCTGTTACAAAGAAATTATTGAGTAATATAATAAAGTTCTAGATTTTTGAAATATTTAATAATCAAATTTCAAATAATTTAATAGTGAAAATTAATTAGAACTATTTTATTTTAATTTTAAGCTAATTTTGAAAAATTTATTATTTAATTTAATTTAATTATTAATTCATATTTATATTTAAAGAGTATATTTTTATTTATTAAATTAAAAAAAAGTAAAAAAAAAATAAAAATACAATTCTTTAAATAATTATGGATATTATCAAAAATATTGATAAATCTAAGGTAATTAATTTTACTTAGTATTATATGGTGAATGTATGTATGATATAAGTTATGCACTGGTTGAATTGAGTTCTGCGGCTGTCGGGACATTTTTGTCTACCGGTAGAAAATCGCCCAGGTTAATTATGCATATAATCATGAAATGAATACGAGTTGGAAAATTTCAGATTATGAACATGATGAAGCATATATATTAATATTTATTTTTTTTTTAGATTTATTTAGAAGAAAAAAATCCTTGCTTTTCATTTAAGAATAAAATCGTTAATTCATTATATGAAAAATATGACGTAAATGAAAATTTTGTTAAAAAAATTAAAGATAATAAAGATAAAGATATTATGATTGGTAAAGAAGATATTGAAAAATTAGTTTCTTGTAAATTTAGAAACAAAAGAAATATTGGATTTGATGATGTTGAAAGAACAGCGATTAGATCTAAATATTATAATGTTCAAGGCTTTATTGTAACAAATTTAGATTATTCACGAAAAGCAGAGAAAAATGCTTTTAAGCATAATATTATTTTAACTTATGAATCAAATCTTAAACGTAAATTAAATTTTTATATTCAAAAAGATTTAGAAAAGAAAGAACTTGATATTTTATATGAAATTTTAAAAGAATAAATTTATAAATAATTTTCATTTATAATTTCTATAATTTCATACATAAACTTATGAAAAAAATATTTAAACGTATTATAATATTTTATTTTAATACTGTAATAAAAAAAAATATTTTTATGAAGTAATTATTTAAACATATTTTAATATATAGTAATTTTTTGAATATTTGAATTACCAAATCTTGCTTTTAATATTTTTAAATTTTCATGTTTAACAAATTCGTTAATTAAATATTCTCCTTCGGTATCTGGATTAATCTTGAATGAAATTATTTTTAGATATCTTAGATTTTTCATTTTTTCTTTGATCAATAAAAAATCACCAAAATCATGAATTGAATTTATCAATGAAAGAGATTTGAGATTTTGTAATTTGATAATGTTTTCAATTAAATTTCTATTATTAACACTTTTCAATACAAGACTTTTCATGTTTGTAATTGAAATTCTATCAAATAAAGAATCAAAATATTTAGGTAAATAACTAGATGATAACGAAAGACTTGTTAAATTATCTAAATTTTCCAACATATCTAATTTTAAAAATTGGTTATATAAACTCAGAGAAATCTTGTGATCTTTCATATATTCGTTAACCATTTCAAAAAAATCAAATTTATTATGTATATGAATAAATTCGATTAAATTAGATCTCTTTAACAATAAATTAACTACTGTTTTTGTAATGCCGGTAAGATTAAACTGAATATTTTTATAATCAACGAAAATATTTTTAATTTGAAGAGTATTAATCTTTTTTACAAAAGAAAAATAATTGAATAATGGTATTGCATCATATTTTTCTAAAAAAAATTCTTGATAAAGATTTCGTTCATCAGATGATAAATTACAATATATGATTCGTCTAAATGAATTAATTTTGAAATTAATTTGTCTCAATGAATCGATCTTAAAATTTTCATGACAAAAAGAATTTTCCCATAAAAATGGAATAATGATCCTGGCCCAATCTCGAGAAATTAAAATATACTTGAATAATGATTTTTCAATATCGTAAAGATATGAAACTATGTAAAATATTAATTCATTTGGAACTTTTGTTTGAAACATCTTTAAAATTCATTTATAAAAAAAAACAGATTATTTATAAACAAGAATATTAATAATAATTTATTAAAATAATTAAAATTTTTAAAAAAATATAATTTTTACTTTATTAAAAAAAAATCGAGAAATTTTAGTTTCGATACAAAAATTGTATCTACTCATCATGTTCGTCACGTAAAGACAATTTCTCATGAACATGAAAAAAATATTTTGTAAAACTTTTGATAAGGGAGGTATATCTTCGTAGTCCCTAAACCGTTCGAGATTAATCCTCATTACCAAAAGGTACATTCAGAATTAATCTCTATGCAAGATATCCTTTGTATAAAAGTTTTTTTAAAGAAATATAAAATTTTTTTATTAAAGATCAAATACATGGGCTAATAACCAGAAGGGTCACCAAAAGGAGTACGTGACCTATGTTTCGAGAATATCATCTAACAAAAATGAATACCAGGAAAAGTATTCTTATAATATTCTTTCATCAACTGCAGACGCACAATTTGCCTTTCGTTATAGTATGCTCATGTATGATCGATGGATTTATATTAGCCTTGATTCTTTCGAGACTTTAACTCGATAGTCGATACTCAAATATTATGAGCGTAAAACTAAGTTTCTTTGCAAAGAACTAAACACCAAAGGACCTTGAAAAAATATCATTAATTAATAATAACGTAAGAAAAAAAAATTAATGAACTCTAACTTATGAATGTTCTATTTTATGCGTATACAACTTTTTGTGCATGAAATGTTGTTGTAGGGAAGCTATAAGCTTTGTTTAAACTACAAGATATTTCAGAGGCCATCGTTGTATATGAAGCCCGAACGAACAGACATAAATGAAAGTTAAAAAAAATACAAAAAAAATAACAATCGACATTATAAATAAAAATTATAGGTAATACAAATTTATAATAATTAATTCTATAATTTAATTTTATAAATCGATATAACGATGATTTTCTTTATCAATGAAATCTTTTGTTCTCAAATTCGAAAATTCGATTTGTAATACAAATTTTACAGTATTATTTATAAATACATTTCAATA